TATTTTTTAAACTATTTTCAACATCGGAATGTTCTTTAAGTTCATATTAATAAACAAGTTTCTAAAATTAGATGAAAAATTAAAAATTTTGCGTTTAGGGCCAGCTGCTACATATTTTACTAAAACAAAAAATATCACCTTATTCGAACGAATTGTAGAATTATTTTTATCCATCAATATTAGCACGATTACATTAGTTATCCAGCTATTTTAGTAGATTACTTTCGTTATTTAGACTATAATCACATTTAAGACATAAATGCGTATTTTAAAAACGTAGAAAAACGACATCTATAACTTTGATTGACCACAGAGAAATCTAAATCATAAGCTGTAGCAAAAGAAGTGAATTTTTTATACGTATCAATTATTTTTATCCGTTTTCAAAGCATGAAACAAACTTGTATTTTTTTAAGATCCACAACTTTTTTATTCACAACTTTGTTACAGCAACTTCATACTGTAATCGGTAAAAACCTATGTTTTTATTTTTTTAAGATGTTTATTATCTTCTAAACTTTCAGGATTACAATTTAAATAAAAGTGTACAGTGCAAAAAAGTTGTGTTCCAATATTATCTACAACTTTTTTCAATCATGCAAACATTCGTAGCAAAAATTATGAAAAATATAGCAGCAACTGACTTTCTTCATATTTTTTTGTTTTCTCAAATTTTTAAAGTATAAAAATAATCCCTTAAAACAAAAGACAAATTTAAAAAATGCGTCAATAAATACGTACGTGACAATAAACTAAAAAACGTTTTTAAACTGTATAATATCATCGTTTTGGCTATGAAGACATAAAAATACCTTCTCGTAAGTCTCTATACGTGGTTTAAAGTTTAGTTTTTTTTTATGTCAACATTTCTTTCAAATGTGTGTAGAAGTGACTTGATTCACTTCACCATATTTTAGATATTTAGTTTTTTTAAATATCAATTGAACACGTAACTTTATATACGAATCACGTAAAATTACATTTATAAGGAAATGATCAGTAAAGTTTTCCAAATTTTATGTGTATGGTAGTGTTACGTACGATATGCTAGGCATATCATACTAACTCCCCCTGGTGACCACGAAGCTACCATATCAAGAGGGTACCGACGGGAGGGGAACGAGGTAATATAAGGCCCGGCAAGCTTCAAAATCGGGAGAACAAAGAGAAGACTCGGACAGACAGAGAGAACGAAGAGAAGACTCGGACAGACGAAGAGAACGAAGAGAACACTCGGAGAGATCGGGCAATTAATCGGGAACACACACGCGTCTTTGCTTTATAAATGAGTATCTTGAATAAAAGTCTTTAGGGTTCCAAGGTTTTGATCATTCTCGCGAAGCACCTCCTTACCTTTCGGTTTTCCCACGTAACAGTAGAGTACTATCAGAAAAATATTAAATTGAATTTTCAAATAAATCTACAGGATGGTCTTTCAATAAGATATGAAAGACGGGATCGAGTATGCGCAAATGCGTATATATAGGTGTACCCATACGAGCAAAATAATTTCCTGCGTAAATCTGCGTTTGCAAGAGCGGCGTTGGCTCAGTACTAAGCGTGCTTTTTACTGATACAACGCCGTTGTAGGGGTGGTGGGTTCGATTTCCAGTGAGTGCTGATTATTTCAAAAACTGTCATCACCGGAAAATGTCCTATTCAACCTCGGTTGCTTCGGTGCGGGTTTTTCCGAGGAATTTTCCATTAGAGTAATTCCAGGGATTTTTTCCTTGCCTTACAAGTCTTCGGGCCTGGGTAAATGCAAAACAGTGTTAGGGCTATTCGCTTCGTGCACCAATTTAAAACAACGCCACCTGCACGGGACAGATATCGATGCTAACTAACAAGAATACATGGCATCTGATAGACAATGATAGGTTACAAGTGTTTATTTCAACAATAATAAATATTTAACAACTAATAAACATTTTTTCAGTCCCAAGTAGCGTGTTCATAGAAAATTAGTAGTTTTCGTAGGATAAGTGCCATCGTCTCTGGAGCTATTTTGCGGCCCAAGAAACCTGCGAAGCAGGGCCCGAGGGACGTATGGTAGCCGCGGAGCGATGGCGGTTATGTGGCGAATCCTATTTTTCCTACCGAGGGCACACCAGCCTCTCAAAAATGCCCGAGGTAGGAAAAGTACTTTTTCCGAAGCGGTCGAGTTTTGCCGTCTCGAAGGCCTTCTCTGATCTCTCACCGACTTCGTATTCGTATAACTACGTCGTACTGTATACTTATGTGGCTGCATGTTCCATGTTCATTTTTTACATATGTATGTGCGTGTGTGTATACAGCACACACACACACATTTTGATAAATTTCAATTAAGATCAGTTACAATTTTTTAAATTAGATGATCATACAAATACACATGAGTGTTCAACTGTAGTTAGAACCAGTCAAAATGTGGATTAAGAAAGAGCCAAAGTACTTTAAACAGTGCCAAACGTACTCTGTAGTTATTTTTACAATACTAACAAAAAAATGTTATTATTTATCAGTGGATGTTAGAGTATATGTTCATACCAATTGTGTCTATACTTTATATATACTGCTATACTCTGCCCGAATAAGTACTATTTTTTTTACCTATATTTATTTTCTTTATTTTTTTTCAATTTTATTAATTTTTATTGTATTATTATTTTTTTTCTTTCAGTAAACAATGTATACTTACATACTTGACAGTAAATTGTTATATATTAGTGCCAGATATATATGTGTGTGTGTGTGTGTGTGTGTGTGTGTGTGTGTGTGTGTAAGACTGTGTGGATGGGTTATTGTGTGGGTGCTCGCGTATGCTTTAGCATGTATATGTATGTGTGTATCTACAGACATTATTGGTACAACTAATGTCAGATAATGAGACTTGTGAAGCTGGCGCCCGCAAATATTAAATATTATGATTTTGCAACTATTCAGGACTTAAACGACTCCTCCTTACTTGCGGATTTATTCTCCACTTGAATTTTTATTTGCGGATCAACAGTTTGCGAGATATTTGCAAAATAAAAAGTTGAAAATGGGTGCGGCGTTGAAATATAAAAACCTTTGTTTTAAATACTAAATTGGGTTGAAATCCAATTCTGTCAGTACGATTTGTTTCCTCCTCACTTGCGGATTATGGAGGCGTATAAATTAATGTAATTAAATCTCACAAAATTTGTAAATAAGGAATCTAATTATTAAGTGAAAATATCTAGTTACTTTTATCTGATGACTTTAATTCGATATGGTGTCACATCAAATGCACGAACATTAATTTTAAATAAAAGGGTAGTGGGACGTGTAGTGGGAAAAAATTACATTCTTTTGGCGCAGTGTAGTGAAAATTTTTAATATATTCTGCATTACATGACCAACAATTCGTACATGTATTACATATAACATAGCAAACATGGAAGTAGGTACTTAGGATGCGCCAATCATAACATACGTAGTATATTAATGTATATGTATTCTATGCACGCGCGTGCTTAAATGCGTAATAATATTAAAATTTTTACTATTTTAGTATGGGATTCTTAAGGATCTATTGAAACTAGTATACTCTAATTTTCTCCGTTTTTATTATACCAAGTTTAATAACATTTGAGTTGGAAGTTCCACTTCTGCCGGGGGTCCCGAGACCCACACCTGGTTTTTTAAAGTTACACCATCTTGGGACTGATAAAAGTTTTCTCTACGATATAGTTTTTTAGATTTCAAACTATCAGGTTGTAATAGAAAAATGAAGCTACAATCCAAATTTGAGCCCAATTGAATGTAAAGTATTAAAGATAGTCTGTTTACATGTCTTCATCAGTGGTGTTTACACTTTTCGTTTCCGGAAAAACATAAGGCATTCCTGTGAAGCAGATTTGCCTAGAAACAATAAAATATTGATGCACTAGTTAAGGGCATTGATTTTATATTGTTACTATTTATAATTTATTACAATACTTAACATGGCTAATAACCCTTGTACTATCCGTTTGTGTGATATTAGAGTGTCACACCTGAAAACATTGAGAAGCAGGTTCAATATGTATACCTATAGATACGAATCCGCTTGTTTACGTACTAAGGTTAGCCAGCAATTTCGAATTTTCAACACGTCATGTACTCTTTTTAGCTTCGAAACCTTAAACTTTCGCGATTTCATTAGAAATAAGATTATTTAAACAACTTACTTCTGGTTTTCGTAGCATGTGGCTCGACTTTTAGCCTAAAAAACCTAAAACTTTTGGTGAAATAATCGAAATTCCTCATAAGACCAATGCTAAAATTTTGAATTTTGAATGTATTTTTTTTTCGATTTTGATCGGCAACATGCTCTAAAATTTGAACTGTACATCCGCTGAGTGATACTTTACCATGGATTTTAATTTAGGTGAAATGGCCCGCTTTTCAAAAAAGTGATGAGCCACCTTAATAGTAAAATATTTATTTACAACACTCATTTAATAATATTTCATCAATGTAGAGCCGTAATATTCTTCTATCTAATACTCCCTCACGTTATTGGCAAATTACATTATTCATGTCGTCTGTTTATTGTATTATAAGTTATTTAAGCTATATTGTAATAACATTATTACGATATGTATTTATTTTTTTTCGTAAACATTATTAATTGCAAACATAGAAAAAAGCAACTACTTAAAGAAGAAGACTTTGCATTATTTAGAAAGTATTGAAAAAGCTTGTCAACCGGGCAAACTGTCTTTTAGTATATACATGCTCTCTTTCATCTGAGATGATGGGATTCATAGTACATCTCGGAGAAAATTGAGCTTGTTATAAAATTTTTATTTTTAACGAATTTGGCCATCTTGCAATTAACTTACTGCAAAAAAAATATATTTTACAAAGGATTTCTCTATAATTCTTATAATTTATTTTTCTCATGCGGTAATTTGGCCGCCGAAACTACCAATTTTATTAAAGTTTAAAATCAATAGTAATCATTTTAATTGTGCCTTATAACATATAATAATTTATAACGCTGAAAATCTCACCATTGTCCCAAGCAGCTTCCTTCGTTCTGAGAAGGACTGCGAGGCCGATGTTGTCCTTGGGCATGACTCTGTTGAGCATGTTGTCTGAGCCCTCGGCGTTCGCCATCGCCAACTGATTAAATTCTACCAGATATTCCTTGACTTTAGTGAATCTAAAGAAAAACGAATATTTGTTACTCATACATTATTTTACTAATATATTATTTTGTAATAATGAAATAAGGTTTAAATGTGCGTATGTCGGTCAAAAAATAATTCGTGATAATGACAACATGTCGGTAGTAGCACAACGAAAATCAATAGAATCTTTTTAACTCCAATCACATTGATGAAAAACAAACAAAAATCTTCGTATAATGATGGACCATCGAGGGAAAAAGTTAATCAAATTTAAAACCAAAAAGACAAGCACGAGTTCACGTGTGAATCAGCTACGTAAACGGTAATGTCTTAAAGACTGGTGGGTGATCTTTGACTCTTTTCTTTGTATAATGACATAGTGGACCGTACAAAGAGAGAAGCCTTGGCTGTGGAAAGTTCAAACTTGAACGATCAAATCGCATGGAAAATGAGATCTATTAACCCATATCGATGTATGAATACCCGGTTGTTATTTATTAATTTGGGAGCCTAGTGTCGGAAAGTTATACAGATAGTGTTTTACAGACAAAAATTAACTATATTATGTATTGGTATGTATATAATGGTTTCGTAAGGTTGCTTAAAATACTAAGATTTTCAAATGAGCATTAAAATAAAATTCAAAAATAGCCCTGAATATTCCTTACCGAAAGTATAAAATGGCTTACACAGCTGGGGTTATACTTTAACTTGAGGAACAGTTGAATAGCCTTAGTTGAATGGCGCTTATGTGGCAACCACAATTTTTTTATTGAGGGTTCATTAAACGTTTATATGTTAAAAAAACGCCCACAATCCGGAAGTGCGAGTCCCGTTACATGGCGCTAATACTGATCTTAAAGTTTTACCAAACAAAGCAGACAACAGTAGCGTTACACTTCTGCTACAGTGTACTGTTTTCAAAATGAACAAAACATGCATATACTCGCCGCCCCCCATCTCAGCTTCGCCCGAGACTTACTAGATGGATTACCGTAGTGTGTTGACATGTAATGTGAAATGTTTTCAGTTAGAAATTTTACATATATTCCTGACACTTCTCAGAACAAAAATCTCCTTAGTAAAAACATATTTTTTGGAATCCATACAGTTTATTTAGTCAAATATTAAGCTGTAAGAACTAAAAAAAAAATAATTATGCTGAAAAGTACCATGCGTTCCTTATGCCATAAAATAATCGTCGGCCCTAAAGGGCCGTTGATTAGCAGTTTCTCCCGTATGATCTACGAAAAGGGCTACTTTAAAGCTAGTAAGACTTAAAACTCCCAAGAAATATTAATATATTTCAAAAAAAAATTTTTTTCTCTTATCTCACAACTTTATTATTAGAGCAACAAAGTCCTGGAGATTCATCTCTACATTATTTATCGCCAAAAAAATACAAATACATATTCTACCCGTTTAAAAATCTGGAAGATTTAACAGATTACTGTGAGGGTACTGATTAAAAAGGTGATCTCTCACCCAATGGATTCTTTATTTCTCAATTTTGAAGCTGATGTTTCAATCTCAATAAATGTTCTGCGTCAGTTTCTTCACACCTAAAATTGTATTCATTAGATGCACATAACGTTTTTCTTTTCATTCGCCCTCTTGCAACTTTTGGTATGGTTAAGACTTTTGTGAGCCCTGAGGGCTGTTTTTTGTCAACTTCATTAAGTTCTGCTGTTAAGGGTGTAAAGTAAGGGTGATCTTCTCTAGCCTGCTGCTGAAAACCCAGACTGATCAAGAGAAAAATTACAAAGTCCGAAGCTTTAGAGCTAGTTGTAGTGCTCTTTCCCGACATCTTCTGGTATAAAGTCGAAGAAGTTGGTGTCTAAAGCACCTTTTTTTTGCAGATTCAGTTGTTTTAATAATCTAACGTAGAGAGATTGGTTCGCGATGCTTGCCCGTTGGAGACTTTCCCGTTGGCTAAGTTTTTTTCTCTTCATAGCTGTTAGGTTCGCCCAGCGCAGACCTTGGAGAGGATCGGGGATTCCTGGTTGAATGCTTAGAGTCGAAAGGGTAACATAGGGTTGTCGGTCACCAGGGTTCCCAGCCTTGCGACGAACAACTCTGCTCGTGACGTCTGCCAGTGAATGGCTGACTTTGTTTAATAGTGGCCGTCTTTAGTTAATATAGTCTTTTAGTCGACGAATCGCTTCTGGAAATGGGAGTTAAAATGTATTTGTTGGCAAGGTAGTTTACACTTAGGTGGCCCTTAAATGAACCGATGAGATTGATGGTTAAGTAGGGAATATAAATACTTATATTGGCCCTGAAAAGGGCCAGTAGTGAAACTTCCAGCTATCCTTGTTATTATTCTTGATGATGAAGAGCTGGCTGCAGGTAGCTTGACTCTAACTCTTCAAGTCTCTGTATATGGAGATCATGATGGAGGGAGGTACGCCACTGACCAAAGAATATTTCGTCTTTGTGTCGTTTCCCAGATAACCGACCACTCATAGTTAGTCGGGAAAGTAGGCCTGGAGAATACCTTGTCTGTAGGTATGCCGTTGGGACGACCGCTAAGAAGGAGGCCTTTGTGGCTGCTCGTACTCTTCAGGGCTGTCTTTCCTGGCTCGTATTTGTAGATAAAAAATATTATCTGACGGCACCAGGCGTTATCGATTACAAAATTTATTTATTGGTGGCACTCGTCAATCCTGGAAGATCAGGGTGAAAGTAGACCTAGGTCACTTGCCCATTGGAGCAGAGCGTCATCGGTAACCGGGATGTACCCAGCTGCACGACTAACATCTACATTCTCGATGCAGTTTGATCTACTGCCGGTAGACGGCTGCAGAATTTTTTGAGACACTTTGACCTATTATAACCACACTTATATAATTTTGTTGCAGGTAGCTTCGACTTTATGTCAACGCCACCTAGCAGATTCTACTGAACTTACGTGAAAAGCTGGCGTATTTTTACAAAACTTTGAGCTTATTTATACCTGTTGTTGTTAATTTTTTCAAGGTAAAAAAAAAAGAATCGGTATGCAAAATTTCAGCCAGATCGGTTGAGCAGTTTTCGCGGTTAGAGAGTACAACGGTTTGAGCGACTTTGCTTTATATATTAGTTAGATGAAAATTTACTTTCTACGTCTGTGGTGCTTAATATTTTGAAAGTTGACCTTTTTACTGCAGGATATATATTACATTTTGTGTGGGTTTGGGATCCATGGCAAAATTTCTCAAATGTTGTTGCAGCATATGCATCGTTAACTTTTTGTTTAATATGACTCCGCTGCTGCGTCAAGTCTGTGCAACCCAATTGCTCTACAGTACCCTTCATTTTAATCATACAGTATTCTATCAATTAATATTAAATACTTACTTGTTTAAAATAAACATGCACCCACAATCTCACAATATGTTTACAAGAACTCAAATTCCCTGCCTTACAACTGTGATTTAACATCACTGTAACTTTGATGTTTTGCAATTATCAGGCCTTATTAGCGATAAACTATAACTTCCAAAAAAAATCCTGTCAAGAAAAGCCTTCTAATATTATTATTAAGGGATACGTAGATTTGCTATACTCATTTTTAAGATTCTCCAATGTTTCGTATCAACTGGCTGAAAGTTTGCGAGCCTGAAAAGTTAGCCGCGATTGAATGCATATTTTCATATATACAAGCTGAGAGCAGCTTTGGTTTTACAAATTTCCTACTGTTGAAGTTCATGACTATTCGCATACAGCAACGCATTGCGGATTCATGAGGAAACTACATAGCGGTAATTAAATGAGTTATTTTATTACTTATATGTAGCTGATATAATAGATACAACGTTTATAAATTAAAAGATAACATAAACTTAAACGAGAAAATATGTGTTTATAAATAAAAGTTTGAATGAACATAGAGATGATGAGAGTATTAAAATAAAAAATACGATAATTTCTTTAGTTTCATTATTTAATTAAGTTAATTAATGAAATTTAATTTGATGTTTGATAATGAGTTGTACAACAATTGTATCGAAAATCATTATAATTTTTAATTTTTTAAATTATAATATAATAAATAAATAAAAAACATAATAATATCTTATGTATTTACGACAAGTACTTACAATTATTAAAAATTTCTTTAGTAACGAGTCTAACAATTCTTGAACACATCAATATACTTGCATTACTTTTACAGTTTTAAGAATAAATAATCTTGATAGGGAAGGGTGTGGTACTAGCCGTCAAGCGGGTGACTTCGTCATCCTGATTTTTTTTATCTATAAGACATATTCAATGTCAATTCTGTTGGAAATTCATCTCTACGACGTTTACTTAACATGTCTTCAGAAATTAAATGAAAAATCTTCATTAACTTTGTAAAACAGGAGATTAAAATTTTGAGCCTGAAATAATCGTCGTACAAGAGTTTTTCTGTACCGAACAAGTAATGGATTTTACTCATGTATTAATTACATCATATAGGATTAAAAGTTTTATTACTTAAATACTTTGTCAAATTTTTTTGGAATTTTATCATGAATATTTACAAAGTTATTCATAATTAGGAAAAAAGCATTAAAAGGGGCACAGTTCGTCACTAGCAGTCACAGCAGTAGCAAAGCGACAGTCATTATCTCAGCTTTATAGGTTAGAATTCTGTTTTGTTGACAATGGTGCGGAAGTACAAAAAAAAGTGAAAGCACACAGCTGAACGGATGGGGACATAGAATTAGCTCTTCAAAGTATTTGCGATGGAAAATCTATTAAAGGTACTGCCCAGGAGTTTGGAATCCCGAGGACGACGCTCCAGTATAAATTTATGAAGCATGAAAATGCAAACACAACAAAACAACAGTCAAGTCAATTTTATGTTTTTATTGTAATTTTTATGTAAGTTGGCGATTTTTCAAATTTTTGAAAGTGATATGTTGATTTACTTGGTACTTTAACAGGCAAAGGCTTTTAGATGATTTTTACTGCAGGGCAAGAAAAAGCTTTTTGTCAATACATCCTAGTAATAAAAATAAATCTTGTTCACAACAAAGTATAAATTTTTTCATTTCAATTCAAT